GTGAAGAAGACAGGAGGGAGAGAAGGAAGAAATAAAAATAAAAACAAAACAGAACAACAAGAAAACTAGAAACAATGTTCATACTCATGTAACAACAAGAACAAACAATAAAGAAAAAACAAAACAATACAAAAACCAAAAAAAGCAAACAAAAAAGAAGGAAAAAAGTTCACTTCAAGGCGTGTCTCTGCTGTCACTGGTAGACAGAATAGGCAGACAGAGCCCAGATCTGTGTTGATTAACCCCAGCAAGCCAGCCATAGATTTACAGTGGGGTAGTGGATAATCCCAGCAAGACTGCACCTTTAGTTCCACTGAAGTTCAGGCTGGTTTCTGGCTGTGAGGCTGGAACCTGATTTGTTCTACCTACAACACTCTTTGTCCCTCTTGCCAGCTTGAACTTGACTCCTTAACCTCCTGCCAACTTGAACTCCATTCCACCTCATCCTGACACTGGGAGCCACTAGATGGAGTCAACCTGCAGCTGCTCTGAGTTTTGAGCTCAGTTGGCCCCTCTCTAAAATGGCTACTGGCCAATCGCCCTCCCCTGGTGGCCATCTGAAGCCAGTCTACTGTATCCACTCCTCCATTCCACTGGTGCATTTCTCTGTGGAGGCCTCTGGGGTCGTAATCACTGTGTGCCTGCAGGCTTGAGTTGCCCTGCCCACACAGTCAATCAGGGATCAGGAAGAAAGCACTGCTTGCCACCTCCTTCTTCTGCATTGAGGTCTCTCTGTTCACTCTCCCTGTAGGCATCAATTCTCACTTCAGATCCTTGCTGGGTCCCAGGGACCCACTTCCCTCCTTCTCTTCCTCACATTGCTATATTCCAGTGTCTGGATACCAAATCTCAGAGAGGCTGTTTCTCTGATTTTCACCATTCTGCCATCTTGTTGGAAGTCACTTTACAATATCTGACTAGCTACATTTTAATATGGCTGTTTTCCTTTGCAAATGTGGGCATTTCACTTTGAAGTGGTTTTGAGATGAATCCTTGGTTCGTATGGGCTACCAAGGGTCCCTTGGCTCTGGAAGAACCTTAGGTGGGGGCACTTTGGTGAGGCTAGGTCAGGAGCAGCTGGGCCCAGGTGACTGGCCCCTGAGCAGGGCTGTGGGGAGGGAGGTGAGGATGGGGAACAAGTGCAGGTGGGAAGATGTGAACTGTTGGAGTGTGACCAGCTCAGTGCTCTTTTTCCCTCCCAATGGTTCTGTGAAGACACAGAGAGCTCTTGAGTGTGGCACCTGAGCAGGGTCTGCTCCAGGCCATGGAGAGGAAGAAGATGACTCTGAGGACCCAGCGAGTGATGAGGAGGAACAGGTGAGGCTGGTCACTGCACAGCTGAACCTATGCGAGCCAGGCTGGCTTTGGTTTGCAAGGCTCTAGGCCCCATGCCTCTTTGGTTCCTTTTTGTTTGCTGGGCTGTGTTTTCTCACAAGATACTTTGGGGGCTCTTTGCTCTCTGGCTTGGAAATCCCGGGCTTGAGCCCAGCCCTGCACTTCCATCTCCACCTATCCCCTGTACACATTCACAGATGTTCTGCCCTGCTCTCCTGTCTCCTGGGACACTATGGCCATCAGACTGAGAAGGGGGCTCTTGGTAGGACAGGGACAGAGAAGCCCCAAGTCAGTGTCCAGTGGCAACAGTACTGCAAGGGTGGCAGAGCCCCTGTGCCAAAGGCTCTGCTCACGTGGCCGCGGACCTCTGCTGGCCAGGGGACAGGTGCTGTAGTTATGTCATGGTCACAGACAGGATGTGGAGGACTGTGCCTGGCCTCAGGGCAGCCTTCTTGTGGCCACACAGCAAGGACAAGTCAGGGTGGGTTGTGGCCAAATTGCCACCTCGGTTGTGGGCAGCCCTGTGGACTCTGATTCCTGGGGCGTTTCCCCTAGATCCTGCTCTGTCCTGAGCTCTCAGAAAAGATCTCTTCTCCTAGGTCCTCCACTTGCTGGTCCCTGGACACTGGCCTGTGACTGTCCTAGATTGACTGCCAGTGCCCCATCCCTGTCCAGGGGGTGCTGGGTTGATGGTGTCACCCTACCCTGGAGCTCTGATCCTGACTGCTCTGCCTCACTGGGCAGTGTGTTCTTGGGCACCCTACTTACCCTCTCTGGCTCCATCAGGCCAGGCCTCAATGCAGGGAGACCTGGACCTCTTCTACATGCTGTTGACCTGAAGTTGACACAACTGAAGGCTTAAGCCAACAGAAACGCTGTCGGGAGGACAAGATGGGACCCTGGATCTGGTCCACGACTTACTGAGCCACTTGGAGCCTCAGTCCACCCCCTCTTCAAACTGACTACGTAACACATGGAAGTCACCCATCCTAGGACCTAGCCCCAAACAGGCCCTCCAAGGAAACTGGCCTCTCTTATTATCACTAGTGATGTGTGAGTAACACATACCACCCGATGCCCAGAAGGTACTCATTAAACTTTAGTATATCGCTGTGCTGCTTCTGAGCCTTCCCAGCCTCTGTTCCCTGAATGGTTCCAGAGCCCCACGGTTCACACCTCCTGCTCCCACCAATTCCCAGGAATGTCCTAGGCCCTAAAGGACATCAAGCACTCTTCCCCCTCTCCCCAGGCTTCCTCTTCGCACCCTGCTCAGTACTTGTCCGGGAAAATTTACCTGAAAAAAATATATATTTATATAACATTCATTCATTCATTGTCTCTCCAGCCTCCTAAACTGCAGGCGCTAGAGGAGTTTGCTTCCTGCTGCTGTATCCCTGGGCCTAGAGGCCTGGCCATCAAGTAGCTGACTGTTGGGCAGGAGACAGTGACACGTGGGGACCTGGGGCCACTGGGCAGACAAAGAGGCTGGGGATGCCGAAACCCAGCGTGTCCCGGGGGTGGAGGGAGCTGCGGAACCGCCCGGAGGCAGCAAGGCTCCTCCCGGCTGGCCCGGGGCAGCCGGCCCTCAGCAGCACGTGCTCCGCAGCGCCTCGGGGCCGCGCTCCCGCTCGAGAGGAGGCCTGGGGCGGGGACAGCAGCCCAGGGGGTGCCGGGACTTGTAGTCCGCGAGGCCCCGGCGGCGCGCTGCTTACAGCGCCCAGCCCGCCCTGGCCACCAGGTGCTGTGAGTCACAGAAGGGAAAGCGAAGCCGGAAGAAGGGCCCTAGGAGGCTCAAGGTCTCGCTCCCGGGCAGCGGCTGCCTCTCCAGGCCTCTAGAGGGCAGGTCAAGGTCATACTTTAATCAAGAGTTTTCAGGAGGCTTTGGAGGAGCCTTTGGGTGGCCAGGAGCGCTCCTTGCCTGCTTCATTCTTTCGCTGATTCACTTAACAAACGTTTCCCCAGGGCCCGTTTGCCAGGCTCTGCAGTTTAAACTATACAGCCCCGGGCCCAGTTCTCATGGTCCCCACCAGGCGGGGAGGAGAGACCCTGAAACAAGCAGGCAAACGTGCGGGCACCCAGGGATGGAATGGACAAGCCGGGTAAAAGGCTGGCAAGCGCGGCCTGCGGAGGCGGGAGAAGAGCGGGCTCCTTCCCGGCAAGGGGCCGGGCGGAACCAGACCCGGGGCTGTGGGTCCAGCCGGCTGGGGTCCGGACTGGGTTTTTGCTGCCGGGTGCCGCGCGGCCTGGGCGGAGAAGGGGCTGGAAAACGCCTGAAGGATGGGCCCGAACCCTAGCGGCCGCCTCCGGTCTCACTGTTCCGTGGGCCACGCGTGTCTCCCGGCCCTCACAAACCCCGCCTGTGGCCCGCTGTGCAGAGTTTGGACCGGCAGGGACCCGACTGGAAGCTGCAGCCCCGCAGCTGACAGGTCCACAGCCGCGCCTGGCGATGGCGGTTTTAGGGCCCGAGATCCCACCCCAAGGATGGGGGTGTCACGGGGCGGGGGGGGCTCCTAAAATCCTTCCTTTTTTTCAATACTGAGATTGAACTCAACGCTTTTACTTGTTAAGTTTTTCTTGGTACCGGGGATCGAACTCGGGTCCTTGCGCTTGCGAGGAGGCAGGCACTGGAACCACTGAGCTAAATCCCTGGCCCTAACGCTTTTACTTTTTGAAACTGGGTCTTCCTAAATTGTTCAGGTTGAACTGGAGCTTTCGATTCGCCTGACGCAGCTGGAAAGTAGAGGGGGTTGCAGCCCTGTGCCACTGTACCCAGCCCTGATAACTTCTGAACAAGGGGCCCCGCGGTCGGCTGCTGTTTGCACGCCAGGAGCACTGTGCAGAAGGTACTGGCTGGGCACACAGAAGCCCTAAGCTAGGGGTGGAGAACAATGGCTCTAGACTTTTGAGGAGCCCGGATCTCCTCCACAGGGGGTCTCTGGGACCATAGGCCCCACCTCCACCCACTTTTTGATTTAGCTTCTTCCGGATTCTATTTTGTTCATTTACTGGGGGGGGGGGGTGTTTGTTGTTTTCTTTTTCGGTACTGGGGATTGAACCCCGGCTTTCGCATTGGACTATATCTCACCCCTTTTTCTTATTTTAAGACAGTGTCTCACTAAATGGCTAAGTTGCCCAAGCTGGACTGGAACTTGGATCCTCCTGCCTCAGCCTTCCAGAGTGCTTAGATTCCAGGCGTGCGTCTGCATATTTACGTTGAGTTGTCACAGTCACAGTAGCTCAGTGGGGCTGGGGGCGTCCAGAAGGCCTGCAGCCTAGAGGGCCCTGAGAAGCATTTGTTGAGGGATTATAATACAACAAAAATCGCTAGCCTTTTCATAGATGTTGCCTATCCTAAGTAGCTCCAGGATAGAACACTGACTCCAAAGCATGAAGGTAGTAAGCGTTACTTTTAATCCACCTGTATGTGCGCTCCTCGAGGGCGGGGGTGCCGCAGACTCCATCTACATTTGGGGCAAGATCCACGGGCCGCACCCTCTTTCCCGCGAGCCCTCCCAGACCCCAGCTTCTGGCGCACCAGGGCGCGGCTGGGCGGTGGCCCGGACTACACTTCCCGGCGGCCCCTGCGCTCGGGGCGGGGGCCTGGAGGGGGCGTGGCCGAGCGACGGGGGCGGGACAGGCTACAAAGCCCGGGGGCGGGCGCCGGGGTGCAGAGTTCGTGCAGAGCCCGTGCAGAGCGCAGCACGTTGTTCCCGGCGGGAGCGGCGCGCAAGCGGACGGGCCTGGCGGCTGGACGAACACTCCTCGCTGTCCCGCGCGCTCCCCACCGCTCCCCATGAGCGCAGCCCCGCGCGGCCCGGGTCCGTAGCGGCGGGGAGACCCCTATGCTGCTGCAGCCCGCGCGGTGTGCCCCGAGTGCGGGCTTCCCGCGGCCCCCGACCGCTCCCGGCGCCATGCACGGCTCGCAGAAGGACACCACGTTCACCAAGATCTTCGTGGGCGGCCTGCCCTATCACACCACCGACGCCTCGCTCAGGAAGTATTTCGAGGGCTTCGGGGACATCGAGGAGGCCGTGGTCATCACCGACCGCCAGACGGGCAAGTCCCGCGGCTACGGCTTCGTAAGTGGCCCCGCGGCCGGGCCGTTCCCCACCCCCGCACCTCATCTCGGCAGGGTGCGCACAGTCGACTCGGGGCGCACGCCCAGCCGGCCGCGGCCGCCCCGTGGCGGCCACCCCGACGCCTCCGGTCCTCCCTCACCTGCCGCCTCCCGCCTCCCTGCCCCCAACCACCGTTTGAAAGGGAGATCTGCTGTGCCCGATTAGGACTCCTAAGTTGGTGGAGAGGTTTTGGGGTCAGACGGGCCAATCGGGATTTACTGTAGCGTCCAGCGGGTGAGGGACAAAAGCTGCAGCCGAGTTTGTGTTGGGGCGCTTTGCCCCCCTCCCCACATATTTTCAACACCCCCCCCCATCCGACCCACATGAACATCCACTTAAGTGAAAACGACTAGGAGACATTTCCTACTTCCCTTCCAACGACGCGTGACTCCAAACTGCCCCACGAGGAAATTAGTGGCCCTCCCTGGTGGCAGGCCAGGCTGGGGCTTGGGGTTCACTTTTGCCCTATCTCCCAGGGGATTGTTTCTGTCCCTGAAGGCAAGATTTCCCAGCATTTGAACTTGGAGGGAGGAGCCTGAATTGTGGGCGGGTTCTGGGCAGGGGTCAGAGGGAACGGGTCCCAAAGGTCCTGAGTGCTGGGCGCCTCGGAGGGGGATGGCATAGTGCCCGGCAGAGCCCTCTGCCCCCGCTCCCAGGCTTCTCCAACCCAGGCAGGGCAGCTCCTGACCAGCTGTGCTCCTCCAGGTGACCATGGCCGACCGGGCAGCGGCGGAGAGGGCCTGCAAAGACCCCAACCCCATCATCGATGGTCGAAAGGCCAACGTGAACCTAGCCTATTTGGGCGCCAAGCCACGGAGCCTGCAGACGGGTGAGAGCTCGCGTCTTCCTCCCTGGCTCTTCTTGGTTTCTATATTCAGCGCTGGTATCTGTTGGGTGGAAAAGGCCCCCCTGTCCCGGGAGTAGCAGTCGGCTATCTTGCTCTCGCAGAGCTGGCACAGGGCAGTCACCCCCAGCGTGGAGCTCGACCCCGAGGGAGAGTGGAGGGGGCATCACCCCCTTGTCAGCTCTCCTCTTAGGAAGGAGGAAGTTGCCCCCAGGGCCGGAGGTGGGGGTCAGACAGACTGGCTGCCGACCCCGGACTCCCAGGGCCCCTGGCCTGTTTTGGCCAGGTGTTTGGGGCTTCCTAAGTGGCAGTGGCCTGGGAGAGGGGAGGAAGTTGGTTATTCTGGCGCTGGGGTTGTATAGCCTGTTGGTTCTGCTCCCTGTGTGTGGGCCCACAGGGCAATGTCCCTAACTGTCTTCTCCTTGCAGGCTTCGCTGTCGGTGTGCAGCAGCTACACCCCACCTTGATCCAGCGATCTTATGGGTGAGTGGAGTGGCTGGCTTGGAGTGGGTGGGCGGGCTTTGGAGATGAGATGAAGCCAGCTGTGGGGCTTCCTGGCTCTTGAAAGGCAGAGGAAGTGATGGTTTTCAGAAACGTGATTGTGTTTTGGGGGTGTGGAGGGCAGGATGAGGTGGGTGGTACCTTCCATCTCCAGCAGAGGCCACACCTGGGAGAGGGGAGTGTGCTCCTCATGGAGCCCCCCTACCTGGTGCCAACCCTGCTCCCCTCCCTGCTTGTGTGACCTTGGGCAGCATACACAGCTGTCTACCCTTGTGACTTTGCCTGGAAAACAGGTGCTAGCAGTCGCCTGGGCTTGAACAGCGGGCGTGGATGGGCTGGTGCTGGCAGGCTCTGGTGAGTGTGGGCCACACTGGTGGGCTGGGCTCTGCCTGGGCACCTTCTGACTTGCTGTAGTGCTGCACAGGTGGCAGCAGGTCACTGCCAGCCAGGGTCTTCATCTGAATACTGCAACAGATGAGATGGGATCAGGGCTAGGTGTCATTGGCTTGGGTGACAGTCCCTAGTTTAGGACTGGCATGTGGGCTTCTTGTGTGACTCACTTGGGAGCCACACACCGTACCTTCTATCCTAAAAGGACTCCTATGTCCCTTTACTTATTAATTAATTTACTTATTTATTTTTAACTCTAATGCTGCCTGGCAGCTGCTTGGGGAAGGGCTCGTGGTCTTCAGGGTCACAAAGGACCCTGCCACTTGTCAGATTTCCCAGCCTGTGGGAACGCTGCACAGTGAAGGAGCTTGCCCATGTGGTTGGGGTGGATGTAGCTGCCCTTTTCACAGTGTTCTTGAGCTTCCTGAGTCCGATTGGCCCTGGATTTTGTGCCTTGTTTGCTTGTGTATGCGCACACTTGGTGGTGGGGCCTTGCTCACAGGCTGGCTCCAGACCTTTTGACACCCCAGGGGAGCTGCTGCTTGCTCCCGGGGTGCTCAGCCTTGGGAGGCAGTGCTGTGGCTCCATGGCTTCCTCGTGTATTGGTGGATGTGTGTGAGCCCTGCAGTGGACTGAGCCATGGTCATTTGGCCATGGCCGGGGTGCTGCCCACCAGTGCCCTCTGTAGTGTTTGGTGGATTGTAGGGGTAGGTGGTTGTGGGGTCACCCTTGGATCTGCTGCGTTCCTGTCCAGTGTCATCTTAGAAGGTGTTTTGGGGTACTCCAGCCTTCACGTCTTCACTCCGAGCTCTTCCTCTGGGGTCCCACCCCTGAGTGGGGTGTTCTTCGCTTTTCAGTGACCTGCTCTGTTCCAGGTGTCTGGCCTGAAACTGGCATTGCCGGGAGATCAGGGACTGAGTCCCAGGCATGTGCAGCCTTTGCTGCTTCCCACCGAGCCCAGACTCTGCCGTGCTCTGTCCCAGCTGCCTCCGGGACTCCACTTCTGTCAAGTCGTACCTTGCGAGCCCACAAGCTGGGGTTCGAATCTGGCCTTTGCTCCTTACCAGCCAGATCCATGTTGGCAGGTGGCATCCCGTGTAGTTTCCTTACCCAGAAAACAGGAGTGGTGCCCTTAGAACTGTCTGGCACATGGCTGTGCACTGTGCTCCCCGCAGATGCCTCCTTCCTGCCCTTACAGCAAGCCTGTGAGGTTGGGACTGAGTGATTTCAGTTGTAGACCAGAAACTGAGGCAAAGAAAGGTTAACGCCAGGTGGGGGATAAGTGCCAGGGATGAGATTTGAACCCAGGTGCTGGCTCTGGAACATATGCTCTCAAGTGCTGCTGTCTTTTTGGGGTTGGTAGGTGGGATGCCCCCACTTTTCCTCTCGCTGTCCTAGAGTCCCAGGTCATTTGTCCGAGGGTGCTGGGATCAGTCACAGGTTGTATTGCCGTGTGCGCCTAACTTCAGGCAGCAGTGTTTTGTAATCAGATCTTTGGCTGGCCATTTAATCCTGTGACCACGAAGGGGCCTCAGACTGTTGGTTGCCAAGGGCTGGAGACCCAAACAGGGACAAGGAGGCAGGTTGTGTACACTTCCATCTCCAGGGAGTGCTGAACCGAAGCTCTGAGTAGTGCAGTGCCCAACTGTCCAGTGTCCCCCCCATCCCTGGCCAGGCCCTGCCGAGACCAGGGTGGCCCTGGCTGTGTGGCCACAGAGCTGCAGTTGGGCCTGGCTGCCTAGGTCAGCTGCAGGCTTCCGGCGCCCACCCTCCAGCTGGGCTGGAGAGTTGGGCTGTCAGCGTCCCCTTTGTCTTTGCAAACAATCAGGCTTGGGGCACAGCTGGGCCTGACTCAGCGGTCAGTTTTGTCAGCTTGGGCCTGGCAGTGGGGCCCACCCTTCCATGACTGAGGGCCTAGTGGGAGCCGCAGCCCGGGGAGCTCGGAGTCAACAAATGCATGGCTGAACTTCTCCCAGACTTTCCGGCCTCAGTCCTAGGCCTCTGACAGCTCTGGGCTCACATTGCGGAACCCCTGCCTGGTTGGTCAGAAACTTCAGTCAGTGTAGAAAGCTTCCCCAGAGAACTTGGATGCTTTGTTATCGGCCTGGATGCTCCTGCTCTCTTTTTTTTTTTTTTAAAGTTGAACGGGCTCATTCAGCACCTGACCCTGCTGGTGTTTCCTCCTTGTGCCTGTATAGGCCCAAGTCAGCATTCGGAGAAGCTGGTAGGTGGCAAGAGGCCTCTGCCACCCCCACGGGCCTGTGATGCTCCTGGAGGTGACATGTCTGCTGAGGACTGCCTGGCCTGGCTGAGGGTCGCTCTGCCATCCTGGTGGGACAGTCAGTAGCCTGCAGGCAGGAGAGTAGGTGGGAGCAGGTTAGAGGTGACTCGTGACAGGGGGTGCCTGTCCTCTCAGGCCTGCGGCCCATCAGGAGCCCAGGTTTGTCCCGGCCTGGCTGCACTTGGAGCCTCTCCGGGGCTATTCTTGAAGGGCCAGCTGCTTCTCCATGGGTCACTCTCCCCGTTCTTAAGGGGGTTGTGCTGTGCGCTTGATGCCAGTTCGCTGAGAGTTGGGCCCAGGGGTTTGTTTTAGGTGACGGGACTGTCCCGAGGCAGCTGGTGGTCAGGAGCATTGACTGCTTCAAGCCAGGCCCCACCCTGCATGTGCCCTGCGGAGGGCGACAGTGCCAGCTCACAGGGCTGGCCCGAGAGGGAGCGCCCACGCGTGGGGCTGTGGGTCCAGGCCGGCCGTGGGAGCCCTCGCGTCTGCCCACGGTGTCACTGTGGCCACCAGCCCTGCAGCGAGATCTGTGGACCTGTCTGCCTTTGTGAAACCAAGGCCAGGTGACACGGACTGGCCTGTGTCCCCATGCAATGGGGCTCCGAGGCCCTCGTCCCTTCAGCCCAGCAGCCAGGTGACAGCTCTTGGGTGAGTGCAGCCAGGCCACTGAGACCGATGACATCCACACAGCCATTCCCTCCCGGGCTGTGCCTCCCACCACCCGTCATTTTCAGGACCCCTCCGTGTGGAGGTGCCGGGGCCTGGGTGGGGACATGTGCCCCAGCAGCAGCAGCAGGCCTGTGTGTGCACTGAGGGGCCGGGCAGAGGAAGGACAGAGGGTGGCAGGGGGGTGGCGGCCTCCTGGCAGTGTGGAACCACGGGCATGCAGAGGGAAAGAGCTGCTCCCTCACTGGTTCACCAGGCATTCATCGTGTGCCTGCTGCCTGCCGGGCATGGGCCTGGATCCTGTGAGTGAGAAAGATGCGTTCTGACCCCGGGGTGCCTGTGGCTGTCTGCTAGGTGGCCGGGTGGGGATGAGTGCAGGTGAACAGGAAGCCCTGGCCAGCCCTGCGCGCTGATGACGAACCCAAGCTTTTGTCAGCTCCATGACCCGTAAAGATGGTGGTGCATGCGAGGCTCGGTGAAACCTGCCCAGGCTGCTGTCTGGCTCTTGGCCCTGAGCCGCGGCCCTTTCCAGTGTGTATGATGCACTCGGTTATGTGAGATGTTGTGCTAAGGGGACACAGGGGAGGCCCTGTAGTATCTGTGCAACTTCTGTCATGATTCCACACTGGGGATTAGACAGGGCCAGAGATGGGATGAGGGCAGGGTGGGCAGGAGCAGCAGGCAGAGGGTGGCTCCGCGTGGGAGCTCTGGGGCTCTAGGCAGACAGGCCTCTCCCTCCGCAGCATCACGTTTTCCCTTCTGGGTGTCTCTTGGGGTGGCCCTGTTGCTCCCCCACCCTGACTTCCTGTTTGACAGCTCGTCCGGAGCAAGTCGTGGGCTGAGCCTGGCCCTCCCCGCTGGCGGCCCGTGCTGCACCTGTTGTTTGTCCCCTTCTGCTGTGATGGAGCCAGCCTTCGGGCCTTCTTGGGCTCCCCTCCAAGGCAGAGCTCCTTGCCTGGCCTGGTGGCCTGGCGCCTGGGCCCCTCTGCTGGGGCTGGAGAGCCTCTGCGGGAAGCCTTGGGCCAACAGACTGGGGGCTTGGTCTCGGGAGACCCAGGGCAGAGGCTGAGGCATGTGACTTCCAGAGCAGGGGAGAGGCCCTGGGCCCAGCTGACCACCTGTGTGTCTTGATGGGCAACCTGGCTCCGCTCACTGTCCTGTCCTCCCCGCACAGGTAGCCTGCGCACTCTGCAGAGTGCTCTTCCTCCCTCCTGGGCAGGTGCAGGAGGGAACCTGAGTTCCCTGGGTCAGTGCACTCCACAGATGTTCTCTTGGTGTCAGGCTGGCATCCCAGGGTTCTGTGCTCAGCGACACAGCGCCCCCGGCAGGAGGGCGGCCCCTTGGCAAGACCAAACAAGCTGGCCGAGAGCTGCAGAGGGAGAGGAGCAGCTGGGCCCCTGAGCCCAGGAGAGGAGGCGCAGCCAGGCCTTACTGCCTGTGCAGCGTGGCACCTGTGAGAGCGGCCTGGGCCCTCGCTCTGAGGGACTGCGCCGTGGCGGGCTCAGCTTGCAGCTTCCGAGCTTCTCTGGCCCAGTGAAGGCCCTTGGGACGGCTCTGTCCCGGGGGTGAGTGCAGGGCGCCCGGTGGCCCCAGGCCATAGCGGAAGCAGGATTTGTGTACAGGTTTTAAGGAGTGTTTGAAAGAG